GGAGATGTGAATCGCAGATTACCCGTCGAAACATGTGATCAATAGGTGTTTAGTGGTTCAAAGCATAGCGAGCAACGGCAGAGGAGAGAAGAGGAGAGGAGAGGGGAGGAGAGGAGAGGAGAGGAGAGGAGAGGGAGATCCATTTGTACAGGCCCTGGAAAAAAACTGACACTTTCACTCCTTCAACCTGATAAACTCCCCACAGAGAGGAACAGGATGGATGCGTGTTATTTTTTTCCTCTTTTCTCCCTCATTCCCTCTTGCACACACACACACATTTTCTGTCCTCTTATATCTCTAAACCCCCGCGCAGCCACCACCCCTCACCCCTATCTCTTTCACTCTCCCCCTTCTGATTCTCCTGAGGGTGTTGGGAGCTCGCTGACATCACAGCCGGGCCTGGCAACAGCCTATAAATTATGAGTGACAAGTCTTTGGACCAATAAAAGCACCACCATATTTCATGCACAGTAAATCTGATTGCAGATTGCTCTGGCGTGTGGCGGCTGACATGTTTATTGTCGTCATGGCGGTGGGAGCTGAGGGTGAGAGGGGTGGGTAGAGGGGGGAGGTCGCTCACCAACATCAGAGTTTCTAAAGGCTCCCAGTCTATATGGAGGTCAAACAGATGGGAACTCTGGGATGTGGGCGACCCCTTCCACCTACCCGACAACCCCCCAAGCATACACACATAAACATATATAACACACACATCAATTCCCCCCACATCTTTAAGGAAGCTATTTTTCCTTCAGCTTTTACAAAGCCGTGCTTCTTTCACCGAAACCATCTGTCCTCAATCCACACAATTCCCTGTGAAACTTATTATACTCAACATCTGCATTGATTTGACCTTTTATATGTAACTTTAAAAAGAAGAAATTACAGATTTGAATTCATAAACAATAAAATGGTGTTGCTTTTGCTGCTACAGTTACTGGATCTGCTTTCACCAGCAGCTTATGGTAGCTAATTTTAACTTTAGGTAGATGGTAGAGCTGTAGTAGCTGTATACCAGAGGTCAACAACCTTTAACATGAAAAACATCTGTCTCGAGTCACATACTTTTTTTTTACATACAGTTTTGCAATACTAATTTTGCCAAGTAAGAAAGCAGCATTTGTTGTGAAAGCAAAAGAATCTGTCCACACATTAAATTCTCTACTTTCCTCTGAGACATTTCTTTTTTTATTTTGATTTGGGGTCTATAACACATTTTGCTAGGGAGACTGAAGACTAATAGCCACTGCTGTTAAGATTCAGCAAAAAATAGGAAAATGCGTCAGGTCAGAATGCAACATATGATTTCATGTTGTCATATTTGAGGTAACAAAATGTTAAAACCTTTTTTAATTTAGTGTGTAATCGCTACACATTTTTACAATTTGACAATACAATTGGATCACACAGGCTTACAACAATGATAAGTGAAAATGTTAAAAGAATATCAATTCAGTAAAAAAAAATTGTCGAAGCCACAGGGAGCCACTGGAGAGGGGCTCAAAAGCTGCATGTGGCTCCGGAGCCACAGGTTGCAAACCCACGCTGTACAGGGTTACTGAGTCAGTTTGCTGTGAGACGTGTCACACAGTCAGAGGAAGAAGTCAAGGTACAGTCACCAGGATGTGGGGTGCAAATGTGATTAAACTGCTGCTTTTCTGGAATGCTGATGCACGTTGATGCTGGGAAACACACCTTTTCCCTTTAACTGTCCCTTAAGCCATAGTGTACAGCAGCCATGAGAGCCTAATACATTGCAACTTCACATCCACCAGTATAGCATTACAAAATGTGCTGCTAACACAGAAAACACAAAGAAGTCAAAGAAAAGACAAGTGATGAATATATCGACCACTTGTCAATAATGTGTTTGAAAATGAACTAACAGTGTTTATTTAAGTTTGGACGTTCTGACTCTGATAATATTAGACACATTGGCTGTATACCTGCCATTAGGCTTTTACTAGTGTCTGTCATGTGTTCATCAGTATGTGTCCCACAAAAACTTCCAAATGAACAAACTTGTAACTGAACTTGATGTGCAGAGCTTTTCTATTGACTTTTGTTTTCATGCAGCATGTTTCTTTATGTGTTGTCAAATAGGTGACACAGGTGCTATGTGGTTTTTTTATGTGCATGGAATTTCTCATGCTGCAGTGTGTTGAGCTATTTCCCCCGTAACAGAGGCTGCAGTACAGCAAAAGTTACATTTTCTAATTTTCTGTGCTGTTATTGCACTGCATGAATATAATTATCAGCACTGTGGTATGTTTTTGCTCAATTTTTCTCTTGATGAAATTTGAATTTGTAGGTGGCGCTCTTTTTTGTAGAATTTGTATTGTTGATTATCACTGCTAATGTGATCTACTGTTCTTTCTGTGTGACTGAGGACTTAAAGGGAATAGGTTCAATCACCACTGAGTCAACCAGCAGCAACATTTAAAAAAACACTTACATTACATATGAAAATATTGAATAATCTGATGAATCAAGCCAAAAACTGGCAAGTATAGAATCCAATCTATCACTAACTTCCTGCTATAACCTATAAGCAGTCAGCGTTATCTTCAATTTTCTTAAACATGGATCCTCTCATTACAGATCATATCTAATGTTTAATGTATTGTAACAACCTCATTGATGGTAAGTGACCCTGTGCTCATTGCACTGTCTAGTCCATCCGTCCTTGCCCATGCAATAAACCATTCTTCATAATTAGCCCGAGTATGATCTGGGCATTACAAGTCCTCTGCCACAGCCCCTAAATGGACAGATTTCAACAGACGCCCGCTGGTGTGATCGGCATCATTATATTTTAATTAATCCATTCTTCTCACAGCAACACAGTAATTACAATCTATTTTATGACACAGCATGCTGCGAAAGAGGGGATGGAAGAGAGAAATGGGAAGGCAGCGAGGGGGAATAATGGCAAGAAAAGGGAGAAGAAAGGGTGAGGGAGGATAGGAAAAGGACCTACAAAGACAGGTGAGGACAGTGAGCTAGAGCCAGGATGAAGAGAGGAAATCTTAAGGTGAGTGAGGCAGGGAGCAGAGGAAAAACATCACAAACGCTATGACTGATTACCAATATGTCATCGCCCGGCTGACATTGTAAAAGCATTGTAAAAGCGTTTATATGATGTCTGGGGGAGCACAGGGCTCTCCCTCTCTCTTTCTCTCTCTCTCTCTGCCAGATTCATGCTTCATACAGTCAGAGGGAGAGGCTCCATTTCCTTCAGCCTCTGTCTGTATAAATCAGAGCAGGTACGGACACTCAGACACGCTGTGGGTGTGATAATAACATTAGAGGATTACAATGACACTCCTCTCTGGACAAGATCACCTGTCTCAACTGTCATAAAACAGCTGCTTTTTGCAGTTTGAAGTGCTTTATATGAGGAGAGTGTGTAGGTGTGTGTGCACATTAAAGTGGTGTGTGCATGTGGCAAATACAGTAGTAAGGCAGTGGAAGATGACGCTGCCTGTGTGATTCATGGCAGACTGTTTACACAAGTAAACATGTAATAAGTAACATCTGATCTCTTGCCGTTGGCTTGACCTTACTTAAAATTCAATATATTATTTTAAACTGTTTTATGTTACAGTGGCTCGTAAATAAACACTTATGGCACATTTTGCAGGTATAACTGAATTTTTAAATTTACCTGAGGAATGATCCCAGCTAGAGATCATATGGGGAGAATTACTGTAATCACACATTTCATAACCCCAACTATTGTTTCCCCATGTAAACTGTAGAACAAGGATCTCAAACTACCGGCCCTCCATACCACTCGTTCCTTTACATGATTAAAAAAATATAATATATATATATATCTTTTTTTTTAAATATTATTATCACGTATACTGAGAGATATCACTTATAAAGTAGAATCTGTGTTTTTTTGGGGGGTTCTTTACAGCACAAGCAATGGGACTACATATATATTTCCTTTCACAACAGTTATTTGTAAATGAAGAAATAACTGATGTGAATATGTGGGCATGTAGAATTTAGGTTCACCTAATAAAAGGTAAACAATGAATTTATCAGAAATATGAGTGTGTCAAATATGATAACTTTTTAATGGATCTGACAGCAACTACTGTACGGGTTTACAACAGACTCACAGCCAATAGATATTACAGGGGAAAATTGACAAAGTGTACTATCAAACTGTTACACTAGAGATTATTTACAAACACATAATTAATGAAAGCAATGATAGTAAACCCCCTCCCTGTGTTAGAGGAGCATTTTGACACTTGGAAATATGCTTATTCACGTTCTTGCAGAGTTAGATAAGAAGATTGCTTAGCTTAGCAGAAAGACAGGAACAAGGGGGAAACAGCTAGCCTGGCAAATTATATTTTACAGGGGTTATGTGCCGAACTATTTCTTGGCAGGGAGTAGTAACTTCCTGAAGTCTTTGCTGGTTCCTCGGCACATGAATACCCATATGACCGCAACTTGTTATTGTTTCACCCTTTGGTTTTTGTACAGATTTAACCTTTTTTTACTTTGCCAGGTTAACCCTTGTTCCAGTCTTTATTTAAGCAGTTGCAAGCTGTAACCTCTATTTACTGTACAGACATCCAAAGTAACTCTGTAATTTCTTTAAAGAGACAAAACCAAATTTTATTGACACGTGTTGCTTAAATAGCCATAACAACAAATTTGGGTTTTAATCAAGCATTGTATCTAACTTTGCTTTTAAAGAACTATTCATGTGTCAACTGGTTGATTAATAAATCGGTTTACAATAAGCCTCACTTAAAGCGGGAAGAATGAGGGGCACCCTGGTCATTCCTGCAACGGCCATGGGTTCAACTCCGACCTGTGGCCCTTTGCTGTGTGTCATCCCCTCTTTCCCTCTCTCTCTCCCCTTTCCTGTCACTCTTCACTATTGATTAAAGGCAATAAAAACCCCAAAAGTGGGCAGAATGTTGGCAGAACCATAGGAATATTTGCATGGATGTATGGGTGTATCACAATACCTATGGTGAACATGGAATCCTGCTCCGTTGATGTTCCACCCAGGCTCTTTGGGGTCAGGGATCTTTGCTGTCTCGGCAATCAGATGCTGAACATCCCTCCACGTCAGGTTAGGACTAGGGCAAGAGACATGAAACAGAATACCATCAAAAGCATCCTTCTTTTGGCCTATGTTCTACACTGACTGAAACCACAGAGGAAATACTTCAACTCTGCATGATACTCTGAAAAGAAACCTGCAGGGAGCTCAACGTGGACTCCAGTCTTGTCTTCCAGAAAGAGCTGAAGGACTCTTTTATGGGACTTACAGCATATTCCATCAGGCACACATGTAATGCTTATATTGTATTAATGCTAAAGTTTATTGATACATAAACCGCTGCGATGAGACACTGTCATACCTTTTACAGCAGGTCCTCTAGACATAAAAGCACCTGTTTAAGTCAAGCTTTCACAAAACTGTGAATCCAACAAAGAATATTTGAGACTTTAACAAAAGAGCCTAGAGAGTCGAATGTAGAAAAAAGTATTCTTTTTAATCCCAGGCAGGGGAATTCTAATAGAGCGGACTCAAGTGTCATGTCAAGCAATATACTAATGGAATCCAATTAAGACCTTTAAACTGCGCCGAGAGCTGGAGGATATTAGCTCAGTTTTCTATAACAAAAGACCAAAGGGTCGTCAACGAGGGCTTTTTCAGGATATAAAAAGCATAAAGGAAATTGGGTTTTTCTGCTTTATCCACTCATTATTGTTCCCTAAGAAAATGAGTTGAATGGAGTATAGGAAAACCGCTTGGCCACCCATTCTGAACTGCCTTTTCTCTTTCTGAGAAGAAATGCCTCCACTGTTTGCTTAACATCTGTACACGTACAGTCGTTTCTCCAGTACAGAGGAACAGAGCGAAGGTAATTAAAGGTGTGCAACACAGTTAGACTTCATTTTTCCCAATAATCATGACATAACTGCGTTACATCATGTCTGTTCCGCCACCTTAAGGTATATCTGCATAGTTTTGCTGTATGACAAATGTCTGCACAAAGATGTGAAGAAAAGCCCTCGCAGGTAACCTCTTCATTATTGTGCTGTTGAGTGTAAGGAATCTCAGGAAAAATCAGGCACAGATATAAACAGATGTATTCCATTCACGTATTGGAAAAAAGCGAAGGAGAACAAAAGCGAGGAGAGAAGCTTTCATTAGCAGCATAAAACAAAACCCTGGCAAGCAGCGAGAGCAGGCAGCTAAAACAACATGATAGGAATAATACCAGTAACACTAATAATAGACGGATAGAATGAAACAAAACACAACGCACAAACAATTATTTTAAGCTTTGATTTCAAAGGGATTGGAGTGTGTGTGTGGGTGTGTGTGCGTGTGTAGGGGGATAGGCTTTGTACTTTTGAACTGTTGCTGCTCACTGCATGCGTCTGTGTGCATGAGTGTGAGTTCAGTATTATATATTAGCGGCAGCAGCATGATTCTGTTGTGTGCACTCCCCCACCTCCATCATCAGCACCACCACCACCATCACCCCTCTGGTGGAATGAGAGAAACCCCCGCGGCCCTGGCTGGTTTGCATAAAGCAAACAAAATTAAATTTGCTTTGCTAAATCAAAGCATGTATGGTATTCCAAGCCGCTCTCTCTGGGACAAATTACTTCAAACGGCCTCCTTTGTATCATAACAGAATAAAAAAAAGAATCAGCCCAATCAGCGGCTCTCCAAAACCCTCGACTCGGGAATTAATTATTGAACCGAGGGCTTTTCTCCCTCCTAGCGGTCCGCGACACAGATCTATTTATTTTGGAAAAGTCGTTTTGCTCTTAAAAACACACTGTTGGCTGAGAACTGAGTTTACCGCTATCTCTCTCTCTCCCTTAATGTTTTCACTCCTCTTTGCCGCACAGCCCCTGAAGGGACATGTGAATAGGTTTAGGCCACGAAATTAATCTGAAAACCCCCACGACCAGCATCTACCATAGTGCTGGTTAAATAGAAGTATTGCTTATGCTGTAATGGACTTAAGATGAACTGAGCTGTTAACTAGAGGTGGACTTTTTTCTTCTCTGCACTACCTCTTTGTATCAATAGACCATGTGTTCTCTCCTCCTGTCGCTTTTGGTTTGGCTGCAAGAAAGCACAAAACCACAATTTATAGAATTTGGTATGCAGCTCAAGGAGAAGAACATATGCCAAAGGAAAGGATTTTCAGGGTTAGTTGTCATTGCTATTGAGTAATTCCCCTACTTATTTATGACATGCTACATGTGATTATATTTAATATAAACCTTTGTTCAGTATTTATGTATTAGAAGCTTGATATCAACCGCTGTCCTCACTTAAATACTGAAAATGCTGAAATACATCACATTACAGCAGATTATGGAGGGTGTGCTGTGTGCAAGTTGTTTCACTTTTCTATTGAATATGCAAAAGGCTAAAGTGATGAAATGGCAATGTCAAGATGTGCAACTCCCAAACACTTGATCAACTACTGTCACTGGCATGTCACTGGGGTATAAAAAACACCTCCAACCATGGTAGATGTGCCATTTTCATGGTTTCACTCCACACCTCCATATCTTTATTTTTATTTATATAAACTACAGAAATAATTGAGGCCCTCATTTACAGTAGTGTGGAGTAACAGTTTAAAATGACTAAAAAGACACAAATTATTTAAATTAATAAAAGATATAAGAGAACAATCTATTAAAGTCATTTACTTAAAAACATTCCAGATTTTGGCTTTAAAGTGTCCTGGGGGTGGAAACTTGTAGTGTCTCCTTGCAGGCATAGCTGGCGAGCTAACATGCTAGCCAGCCGGAAACATGCTATTGCTAGCCATCTACAATAGTTTGGTCGCTAAACAGACAATACAGAAGGTTAAAAGAGTTTATGAAAAGATATGTACTTGTACTATCAAGTCATGTCTCACTGACTGCAGCTACTCCAGGAGGGTTATATAAAGGTGGTGGTGGAGCACAGCTAATATGATAGCTTCTACTATTTTGGGACTCAGTTTTCCATAGGCCTTTCATAGGAGGACGTCTTGGTTTGTGACCGTGGGAGGAAAATTGCTTCAGTTTCATGGCCCTGGTATGGTTTACTTGAACACTTGATCAGAGCAGAGCCATTGTTAATGTTTTCCTACTATTACTAGTCAAAATGTCTGCTTCGAAATTGGCCTTTTCCAAGGATGCCAAAGTTAAACCCAATGTTGAAAGAAAGATTAGCCCTCTTTCACATCGAAAATGAATCTGTTTCCCTCCAAACCCGTTTTAAATGCTGGTCTGATCAAGCCTGTAAGCTGACATGTATCTTACAAAATAGCTCATCCATCAATCATCCATTCAACTCATGCATAAAGAAATAACACAAAAACTTTTGACAAAACCCAGTGAAGGCATCATGTTTCCTGTCATGGATTATCTCACTCTGTGAAAGCATTAATCACTGTAAAATTATAATTGCAGACACTGGCGTCTTCTGAAGGATAGACAGCTGACATCACTGTTTCAAAGACAACAAAATTAAAGCATGTTGTCCAGCACATACATGAACACGACTGTGCTGTTAGCTCATGGGAGAATTAGGGCAGAGTGGTACAATATATGAGCCTCCTTCAGACCCTTACAGCCTTCATCCCCTCGCCAAGGCTCACAAAGCAGCACAGCAGCCGTCACAGTGAGCACACAACTGTTTACAAATCCCCAGTTAATAGGATCAGGCCTCATTGACTGAGCCGCTCCGATGTGTCTGATGTAATCTATTAGCCGTATGATAGTCAGTGTCTCAGTCCAATCGATAACCCTGGGCCTCCATATTGCTCCACTGTGGACTGTTACTCCTCTTTAGTGCTGCTTAGAATGCAGACTTAGTGACTATAAAGTGCGTGTGTGTGTGCACAGGTTTGTGTCCATCTTCTCGTCCTTGTGTGACGGATCATGCACGTGTGTGAATTCTGGAGTTTCAATGTTGGAGTGTGTGTGTTTATGTATGTATATAGTAGCTGTGTGTGCACAATACTGTATTATGTACTGCAGCTTGTATATGCGCAACCATAAAACATACATACTGTAGCTGATACTTGGGCAGATGCTAATTCTGTAACACTTTAATGCATGAATGCATGTGGGGATTGTACGTGTGTGTGTGTGCTGCATAATTATGTTGACATTTGTTATATCCATGCACCTATAAATGGGTGTATTACTATACAATACTGCATACTATGTGCGTGTTAATGCCGCTTTACAGTAGATGGCATGTCTGGAAGTGCATGCTTGTGCATCTGCGTGTGTGCGCTGTGTTTGTGTGTGTCGGAGTGTGTCTGTAGCTGGTGTAACTGGGTTTCCAATTAAGTTGAACCACAGGCCGGATCAATGCTAGTCCTCTGTGTGCAGGAATGAGCAGCCCTGGGCCCTCAGAGCATGCCCACGAATAATTTATCACTCACACTGGGCACGGTAGTAGTGCAGGAGGAGGAGGAGGAGACGGAGAGTGCAAGGACAAAGTGTCCAGCCCAGGGGAGAGAGGGGGCGAGAGATGGGCAATCGAGGGGACAGAAAGATGGAGGGGTGAAGAAAGAGAAAGAGATCAGGACCCAGCAGAAAACACTGTCAGCTCCCGATCATTTAGGAGAAGCACACTCAAACATTTTTTTTTTCTTCTGGTAAACAACCATTGAAAAATGAAATTCTGCAGGGAGCACAAGCCACATAACAAAACACAATGTTTTTATTTGTGCAAGTACTGTAAGCAGTAAAAAAAGATGAAAACATATAACATAGGATCAATCGGTTTTCCAGTAATTGGCTTTTGCAAAGCAGATATCATCCATTCAGTGTCATCCACTTTGTAAGGTTCTGTAGATTTGATCACACATTTATTCTATTATTCGTGAATACTATCTCATACTGACTATAATGTGACATTCAGTCTGAATATCATCATATTATATATCATAATTTATTTGTCTTACAATTCTAATCCTCAGAGTTTCACTAAAGCTTTACATGTATTATATGTATACAGAAAGAAACCCTAAATATTGGTAGGGATCCATCCAACAAGTCCCCAGTGACTGCTGAAAAATTAATCTATTTTATG